TAATATAATTGAACTATTATTCTATATATTATGATGACTACATTGATTATTCGTTACAGTCAGCAGTTCATTATTTATTGTTACTACAATTTTAACTGTTTGGAAGTATGGAGGTAGTACAACAGCCAATGTTCTGCAAGTAATTCCAGGAAACTTCACAGTGAGTGCTGCTGTTCTTTTTGCAGCTCTTCAGCTATGTCTTTCTAGTGCTCTTGGTCATTCAGCTCTGTTCCAAGATGTAGAAGAACAATGTAATATTAAAAGAAGTAAGAAATTCTAATATTCAATAATAACAATTTCTCAAGGTGTCAAGAACTGGTTTTACAAGATATGTACTTTTATCACAGATTTTGGATGGAAAAGATGTGCCATAAGATCAGCTATTGTCTTTCTTGGAGTAGCTGTAGGAGAATCTGTGCCTAGATTTGATATTGTGATGGCACTGATTGGGGGATCCTTGACTGGTCCATTAGTCTTTGTGTTACCACCTTTGGTATATTCAAAAGCAATTGCCTTGAAAGCAAAGTCCATGCGACCTTTAACTCCTGAAGTGTACTCTGCAACTGAGAGACGACAAAACAGCGAAGGCATGTCAACTGACTCAAGAATTCATTCAAGGTCGACTTATTATGGCGTTCTGAGTGTACCTAACACTGAATATCATCGATATTCATATGTTTATTATGATGGGTTGGAAGATGACTCGGATGAAATTATGGATTATGACAATGATGCTATACCTTCTGGAAAAACCAATGAGGAATTTTTGATGACAAAAGTAATTCATGATGGTGCACCAGCATTCGTAAACGCTAGTCAACCTTACAGCGTTTACAGAAGAATCACAGCTCCTAAAGAATTGGTTTCCAAATTAGTGATTTGTTACAATCATAGAAAATGGTGCAACTGGTTTGGTTATTTAATCATAATTTTTGGTATTGTCGTTACCATATCTTCGACGTACATGAATGTAAAGAATACTATACGTTATGTACAATTCACGCCACCATGTATCGTGAACGTTACAAAAGTAGTACAAAATCCTACATAAAATAACATACTAACTAATGATAAAAAGCTGCACAAAAATTTTCTGAATCTTTTAATTGATGTTTTGAAGGTAAGTTTGTGAATAAGATAGTTTTCTATCATCTTAAATATTTTGTAAACATTTTGTCAATTAATATTGTGTAAACAAATTTCTGTAACAAATATACAAGTAGGATATATTATTTTATAACAATATATCTATTTATATTGATTATATAAAGCATCTTCCAACATTTTTAACGTAAAAAGATGCATAGTCAATTTTTATTGGTTTACTGCATTACAAATTTTTCATGTTTCATATTTTCTCGTCAATTTAAGTCTATGATTAATTTGAATTTTTTTCAGCGGGCTTCCTACTTCAACATTTGGCCACGGAGTGGCAGTAGTATGCTACTGATAAGGGTTCACACTCTATAATAAGCACGTGTAATTTTAAATCTAAGGAATTTATATTTATATATTATATATTCAATAGGACGCATTTTCTTTAACATGATGAAATTGTTAATGTATATCAATAAATTTATGTACTATATTTCAATTTCTATTTCGTAGAATGAAAAACACAAATGTAGAATTACTATTTAACATACATATGCCTCCGAGGAGTAAATGTCGTAAGAATCAGCTGATTTTGTAACTATTCTTAACTGTGAAGGTTACCTTGAAAAGTCATTTCTCTCCATAGACTTTATATTTCTCTGATTGTCTATGCGCTGGTATTTCCTACGGACAATCTTGTCAACCTCATATCTACAAGAATAAATTTCTATATCAAGGCATTATTTTTAGAATAAATTATTTAGTATGTTCACTATTATCATAGCTCAGCTTTAACAACATATCAACATCATATAATTGATCATTCAATAATACTACATAATGCATCTTTTAGTTTTAATTAGATCTTTTTATCATTACAATAATGTTTTTCATTTTTGCACATATTCCCTATACACGTGTATTATTCCTTAATAAAGTTTCATGTAGATATTTCATTACGTCATATCGTCCAACATTTTTTAATGACGATTGTAGAGGGGATACGATACGAATTAACCTGTGACGTTTACGAGCTAGGTCTTACGATACTATCCGCGCCATACGAATGATTCGCTCTTGTTGAATCTACATTTTATAATAACTCCGACCTTTTGTTGAATTATTCGAACTCAACTGAACGATTAGTTAGCAAATCATTTTAAAAATGATACCAAACTGTATAAGAAATATAGGTGCTCAAACGTCGAAGAGAAATGTGAGTATGCAACCGAACGATAAATGACCTCTAAACTAGATACTTGCCAACACGTTCCATGCCAGGGTCTTGTTATAATTTCTAATCGTACAATTATTGCTCGGGAGTCTTGCAATTGGAGATTCATTCTTTTCTTTTTTTATATCTCCTCCTGGTGTCTTGCCAGTTCGGCAGCTGGAACGAGGTAATTATTCGTATAGATTTATTCATGTGTTTATTATCGCCGATAAATCATAATTTTTTTTCCTCACACCGTCTGGTATTCAGTTTTTCTGCTTTCCTTCCATGTATTTTTTTCAATTTTTTTCAAATACGCGATCAATCAGAATGTAAGTAAGTTTAGAATTGTAACGAAATGGTGCGTTTTTTTAATTTTATGTGATTTTTTACTGTGATTTTGTGAACACTTTTTTTTAAGTTCACAAGTGTAACAAGAAAACTAACTTTATGTTACATCTCTTTTTGTGCTACTATTTTTTGTACATTCTTGCAAATTACAATGAATTGTGATATTAGATGTACATATGTTACTTTACAAAATAAAGTACAAGCAATATGTTTTTTACTATGTATTTGTAGGTGATATCGTACTTCTTCAGCAAAAAAAACAATTATGCCACAGAAGCTTCATTTGAAACAAAACCTTTTCGATTACACAAATTAGATAGCGGACCATCCAATCACATCACTATTACCAAAGATGAAGCAATAGAGCTCTATAAGCAATTACATACGATCCGCCGTATGGAAACAGCTGCTGGAAATCTCTATAAGGAAAAAATAGTCAGAGGTTTCTGCCATCTATATTCTGGTCAAGTAAGAATCATGTTTTAGTCTTTGGAATTCATTCAGTGAAAAATTTCATTAATAAAATCTCTATATTCTTCTGGTAGGAAGCTTGTGCAGTTGGTATAAAATCAGCACTCCGACCACAAGATTGTGTGATCACAGCTTATAGAGCTCATGGATGGACCTACTTAATGGGAATTGACCCATTTGGCGTTTTAGCTGAACTAACTGGTAGAAAAGGAGGAAATGCAAAAGGTAAAGGTGGTTCTATGCATATGTATTCCAAAAACTTTTATGGTGGAAATGGTATCGTCGGTGCCCAGGTGAGCATCAGTTATTAAAATTATTAAATTAATCACAAATATGCCATTTTCATAAAACAAATTTGTAGGTACCTTTGGGAGTAGGAATTGCCTTTGCTAATAAGTACATGAATAATGGAGGAGTATGCGTTACATTGTATGGCGATGGTGCAGCTAACCAAGGACAAGTGTTCGAAGTGTACAACATGGCTAAATTGTGGGATGTTCCTTGTATTTTTGTTTGTGAAAACAATGGGTATGGTATGGGTACTAGCGTCGATCGTGCTTCTGCTAGTACTGATTACTACACAAGGGGAGATTACATTCCTGGAATTTGGGTTTGTTTCCAAATAAAAATAATTGTTTGTGATGTCGTAATTATTTTGCAAATTATATCGATTAAATATTTTATTAGGTGGATGGTATGGATGTATTAGCAGTTAAAGAAGCTACCAAATTTGCCATTGACTATTGTACATCTGGCAAAGGTCCCCTTGTTTTAGAAACTGTAACTTATAGATACAGCGGACACAGTATGTCCGATCCTGGAACAAGTTATCGTACGAGGGAAGAAATCCAAGAAGTGAGACAGACTAGAGATCCTATAACTGGCTTTAAGGAACGAGTATTGAATGCTAATCTCGCTACTCCAGAGGAAATAAAGGTATGCTTGGTCTCAATGAATTTATATATTGAAAATGTAGAATTGTTCAAAATTGATTTCCTTTATTTAGGCGATAGAAAACGATATCAAAAAGGCCGTTGACAACGCTGTAAAAGCTGCGAAGGCGGACAGTGAAATTCCATTGAACGAACTTACTGCCGATATTTATGCCAATTGTGTAGAGAAAGAAATTCGTAACACTACTCCATTTAAACCTCTACCACATGCAAGGCTAGGTGAAGCTGTGAATGCCTAAATTAACTTTTATAGAACCTTAAACGAATTCTATATTAAATCTTACTTATTATAACAATGTCTGTTATTAGAATTATTAATTAGGTTCTAGCTAGTTACAAAGGGTTCTTGGAGAATAACTCTATCCCCTGGAGTTAGGCAAGGAAACTAGTAAATCATTGGAACACGTTTTTGTTTATCATTGTTTATCAGTTGTATATACGCAAATTGTATATTTATTTTATTTATAGAAATATAATAACACCGTGAAAGAAAGAATTGATCAGTACATGGTAAAATTCACTACTCTATAGTAGCCAGTGATTTCACATGTACTTACAAAAAGGGGACTATATTATATTATTCTCTTATCCATAACAGGAAATTACATAAAATAACTGTAGATAAACTTACGTGCCACTCGTGTTCATTATCCTAATTTAATAAAATAAATGAAATTTACAACTATCTGTAAAGTAATTCACCTGAAATGTGATTTTGGATAATAGACCATATATTATAATAAGAGATATGAATAGTGAACTGGTATGTATTTAAAACTGAAATATTACGTTCAAAATTAAATAAAAAAATATTTATAATTGGGAGTCAATTTTATTTACAATACATCAATTTAATTTTAGAACACATTACGGTTACAGGATAGATTCACGGCACTAATATGTATTTACGAACACATTATCGGGATCCGTTTTTCTATCTTTGTTCCACTAAATTCGGTCTACTTAGTATCATTCATTTGGTTGAACTTCGTGTAAACACTCTTCTCGTAAGGTTACATTTATGAACACGATTATTTGGCCAGTAGTTCATTGACAACAGTTGTGCGAAGACGAACGAACAATGGCCGCTGCAGGAAGTACGAGTGCCGGTACAATTTTGCAGAAACTCGGTTTAAAACCGATCACGAAATGTAGTCTTGTCAAATTTTACGCTCCCGCTTTCGGCGTTGCTTCGTACACCGCATTATCTATCAACGTGATGAATCCGAGTCTTGTCATCAGGTAAGATAGATAACGAACCCATTCTGCATTCAAATGTTAACCTCTATTGCATTCGCATCGAATTGTAGGGTTTCATAATTCTTGGAATGTTACGTAATCTTTAGAGACAAAATACTGACCGATGCATTTTTTCAAATTACTCAAATCTTTTAACTGTAACATTTATTTTTTTCTGTCGAATAAGGGTCATCGTTAAATATATATGTCATGATCTATATTTACAATGCTATTCAATCAACAAATTAATTGATGTATTATTTTTTGTATTCGATCATGAGTGGTTTATGCAATTTCATATTTTTTATTTTTTTATGGATATATTATACATATTTTATATCGTGAATATTATGAATATTTTATACATTTTTGTATATTATATGCTTTTTATCATTTCTGCAGCTCTAAATTTTACATAAACGTATAAATATTTATCGCTTAATTATGAGCATAATTATTTATTGTTTTATTTTGAATTACTCATCGTTTTCCCTTTTTGTATATTTTTAGGGTCTTTCCAAAAAAAGATATTACAAACTTCTTATTGGGAAGTGCTCTTCTTGGCACTGGCTCTTACATATATAGTCGTGATCATATGAAAAGTGCTTCTACAAGTGTAAAAGTTTTGTATAGGTGAGATATTTTCATTGTATTATATTTCAACTTTTGTTAAATATACACAAGATATTAATGAATTCATTTATAATTCTTACAGTACTGCTGGTGCTGTATTACTGAGCTTTGGATCAGTGTTAGTATGGGCTGTACTTCGATCCATTGTACCACCTAATCCAACTCTATGTACAGTAATTGGTATTAGTTCGGGGCTTGCATTCATCAAAGTTGGTTCCAGTTATCTAAACTTTGTTGATAGTCAGATACCAAAAAAGTAGATTGAAATAAGTTTTGTGATTGACATATGATCAATATATATCAAATGCATCCAAACAAAAAATTTGCAATAATATAACGTAAAATAGCAGATTATATTGAATTGATAACAAAGAAAGAAATTTACACACTAAGCAAGGAATTCTTGAAAGTTTATAAATTTTTATATTTTCTATGATCTTTGTCCTATAAATGTCAGGAAATAACAAGTCAAATTATGTTGAAAATAATCATGAATTGCTTTTATTTTGTATTTGTTAATTATTTGCAAGTTCTAACAATTACACAGAGGATATATAAAATAAAAATTTAAATATCATTATTAAAAATATACCTCACATTTTTTGTATGTATGAAATTATAATTTATATGTTAAAAAAAAAGAATAGGAAAAAATGGAAGAAAAATTTTGTTAACACGAACACATTTTCCAAAACATATACCATCTTTATTCAAGTAATTGATTAGCAGTAGTGGTAGAAATGTGCACATTTTTGCAGCAGTTTTAATAAATGTTGTACTAGAAAAAATTCAGAAGATTTTATATTGTAATAACTTATGTAGTATTTGGAATCAGCGTAAGTATAACAAATAAAAAACATGTTATTGAGAATTAGTTTCAAACCAGAACAAAGTGTGTATGATTTGCAAAAATATACATGCGTGCACTATAACAGGAAGTTGTATTATTTATACAATAAATTCTGTTATAAATTTGAATTGGCACAATTTGTCAACATATTTATTTATAAGAGAAAGGAAAATCTTTTAGTTTATTATCAAAGCTTTTTTTATTTTATTAGTAAATTTTGCAATATACAAAATATATTTGTATGACAATGTGTGTATATCTTACTTGTCGAAGGATAACTGTATGTACAAATCATGTTCATATACTAGCATTCATGCTATATTATGTGAGTAATGATAATAAATAAAAATCAACGTAAAGTATTAAAAATACACATGAAATTCGAGTGGTTCATATCTTATCATATAGTCGCAAATTTAATTATGCTATAAGAAATTTTGTATTATTTATTTTATATTGAATGTAAAATATTATGGAGATGACAAAGCCATGGAAAACTCTGACAGGTACAATTAGTTATTTAAAAGATGTGATACTTTATTTTGTGTGTATTTTTTCAATTTATTGCTTTGTGTACATGTCGTGAAAAATATAATTTATGTTTAAAAATTGATTCTTTGATTTGAGAAAATGATATTTATGCATGTTACTGAAATATGTTTACAAATCCTAGCAGTGTACCTGTCATATCACACTGATATGTATACAAATGAAAAAATGAATAAGAAACGTGATATTGCAAATATTTATAGAATACAGTTTCTTATGTTTTGATGTTGAAATCTTCCTCGTATTAATGATGACGTACTATCATTCTTAATGACATGCAATGTCAATAATCGCGTAGAAAAAAGACAAGTATTAATACATACAAAAGTTGTAAATATTAAAAATCATAAAAACACGATTAAAGTTATCACTTTCGGAAGAATTGATATTTGACGGTAGCAAAATATATCTCATTTCATTGCGATATTATGTAATACGCATATTATATGAGCAAGTTTTTAAATATTGGTATAAACAGTTAAGAAATACTCTCCCTTCCTTAATCTAATTATGATGTAAAAGATATCGGATATTCCATACAGTTTATATTACAATAAAAAAAAGAAAAAAGAAAAAGGAGTAAGTAACGCGATTGCACAGCTATACATACTCGTGAATCGTATCACATTTGGTCATTGAATGACAATAGTAATAGTTTCTTGTTGTTTTAGATAGATTTCTATCGTACTTCACAAATATCACCGTTTACTATTTGTACTTGCACAATTGGTGACATCTGCATAATAGGTATAAACTGTAAACCAGGAGTATTGTTCTCCTCTTCCAGATTGAAACCAAAGTTTCATAATACTGTCCTTCTTTCATCGAGGCCCCTTTTACTCTTACTTATATGCGTCGTTCCGAAATAATCGATGAATTCGGTTGACATATCCTCGAAAGTAAGTATCAATCAGGAGATATTTATCCCATGAAAGAACTACTAGTAACTCACAATCAGTCAAAGGATGCCTGTCACGCAAACGAGTTTTAACTTCGATTCGAGTGTAACGTCGTTTCGTTACTACTACTTCTGAAGGAAACATCGGTTGGTGTTTTCATCGTAGAGGATAGGACGTTGCTGACAGTCTCCGCGATGCTTTCCGTTACTCTATAGATCTTGTCGGTAAGTATTCGTTCATTCATTTCATTTGAATAGATGTGTTCGTGGGAATCCAGTTTATGATCGTGATCATTCTCCTGATGATTAACCTCGTGGCTATGTACGTCTACGTGTCCATCGTGCGAATGCGAGTGGGAATGAGAGTGAGAATGCGCAGCTGTAAAATAAACGAAACAATTTTTTTTAAATAACTACTATCAAAAGCTTATCCTTTCAGGGACTTTATTTACTTTTAATAGATAGGTTTTAGAAATGCGTTTTCGTATCTGAGCGATCGGTTGATCTTATTGATCGGTTAATCTGAAGTAAAGCTTATTCGTTTATACTTAATATGTAGATAAGATCTAATCTGTGATTTGAAATTAATCTATATAAAGTTATAAAGATAACACCTCCTTATATACAATGTATCGGACATCTATAAATATTTGAACTGCTCGATGTACAGATATATAATAACTTAACTATTCTAGTTATGTGAAGAAAGCTTCCCGTTCTAATTGTATACCATAAATGGCAATTATAGATCCCATAGATAAATAGTCGAGAAAGCGGTCGAAAGTCGGTCGGATTGTATATCGTCTTGGGTCATTGCCATGGGTGGAGAAAGCTTATACGTAGCCGGTTTTTTTTCATTATTCTTCGTAAGTAATTTTATTTAATTTTTTGAAACCATGGTTAATCGTAACAATTCTACTTTCACTAATAAAACACATAGGAATAATAAAGTAATTATAATTTTTAAGTTTAAACAAATATCGATTACTAAAAATTTTGCATATGATTCTGCGGCATTTACTCTATCTAAAATCATTCCATTAGTACAAATAATAATGATTAAGAGGACAGAAGCGATAATATAGGTTACAACAACAAATGAAAAGGTTAAACTTAATGAGATTAGCGGTTGTTAATGTAAACAAGCTCAATAGATCGTTTTATGCTTACTGAATCTCTTTTTAAATTGACGAATGTAACCTGTATCGTTTCACTAGACTTGTAGGCAATCGCCATGGTATATCATAAGATCAAATTATATAATTAGTGATACTTCCGCAAAAAATAATTGTTATTATGAATTCCTTGTAGGTCTTCAGTCTAGACCTCTTAGGTAACTCACATACTGTTATTAAGATGGGCAGCAAACGTGTCCCATACATGTACCGTTGGAGGTCTATATCTAGCAAACATTTGTGGTTAATGGGTGAAAATTTTCATTACGCACTGTGAAATATAATCCTAATATTCATTCAGCAGGCGGTCAAATAAAAAGCCTTAACTTTTTTTCAAATATATGAATTTACCTAATATCCGTATTCTAGTAATAATTTATTCTTAATTGTTCGATAATCTTTGCTATTATCTCTGTAAAGGGATAAATAAGAATCATTATAAAACAATAATAATATAATTCTGCAGATTGGTCTATCTTTCAATTCGGTCTTTCTAGATACTTGCAAGACATGTCGTGCACGCACGTGTACAGATGCGTGTGCTTATTATTCGAGCTGGTAATGATATCACGTACTTTTTGTGAATTAATAGGTTAATAGGTACATCCGAGTTTTGTCTGTGACTGCGTGTCGCGAGAAATCATCGCGACGACCAACGTTGCCGTGAAGCAGGAGTTCATTGCGTTTGCCCACCACCGTTATCAAAGTTATTAACCTAACTGCAACTGAAAGAGTGTGTTGGAATGTCTTCGGACAATGAAAAAATAAAAGGAATAGCGAGTGAGTAAACTAAACTATGTAAACCAAACCAAACTAAACTAAACTAAATTAGTCTGTCTGTGATTCGCGTAATCGGTCTTCTTGGTATAACCTTTCTAAAGGGGACATACATTCAACATTATGCGTAAATTTTGGCACGAATGATATTTAATGACAAAAGAATGATTGATAATCTCAATTCACATTCACAACGCAAAGTGGTTTACGAAAGTATTTAAATACTAGTAGGCATTTTTTATAGATATATTATGTGTAGATATTATTCAAAACATTTTGAAGTTTCATTAGCAATGGAGAATCCTGACCATCATAATTATATTTGTGAAAATGTTTTGCATAGCACATACACGCAATATAGACATGGAAGTATTTTATGATAAGAGTTCTAATACTTTCATAAGCCACCGTGTATATATCTCCGCTCATAAAAATTTATCAGGCAATAAATAAAATCTTTCGAATGTAATATAAGAATTGATGATTAATCTTGTTCTTTTCGATAAAAAGTTAAAGTTAGATGGAGAAATAAAATCGGCGACATCCGGCATACGATATATTATTCGATTTCTTACGGTTTTCGTGACCGTGACTTTTTGAACGTTGCCGCTTGACTTTTTGCTCAATCGATAGGTGGATGTGGTATCCATGCGTTACGAGAACACGTGGGTGGTGATTGCATCAAGGACGTACCGGCAGTAGGTTTGCACCGACGTTGATAGGTTCAAGAAAAGAAGATGAAAGGTTGCCAAAACGCCGATTGATGAAGGCTGGTATTATAAGCAATTAATTTGATAATAGGCTCGAACTTTTTTCTATATACATATAGAACAGGACTTGTAAGTCCATTATCTAAGTTAGTAGCATTATTATAATAACATTTAATAAATGTTAAAAAGTTAGTCCACTTAATTAAAATTAATAATATGTTTTTAAGACAATGTTTCACTAGAAATTCTTTCTTAATAAGAAAAGTAATTAGAATATCTTGTTTTCACATTCCTAAAAATACTGCCCTTTCTAATCCATTGAAGACCAACTCTTTTGGAAAATAGATAAAACTAACAACAAAGAGATGGAGATAATAGAGAAAATCAGATTCTTGACACAATCAATTACAGCTTCGTCACAGATTAGAAATTAGAAAAAGGAAGATACTTGCGAAAATTGATTTTCATGAATGAAAATCAGTGCGCGACATGCTTTGGCCTCGGATTATTATCCGGGAAACACTCACTCGCGATTTGTAGACCCAACATCAGCATGAATCCAATAATTATGGCAGTCAACTGTAAGAGGCCACTTTTCTCGTTAGCCCTCTCGCGTGCTAACACCTCGAAGAAAACCACGTATAGTAACGTTCCGGCGGCCATTCCTTGCAGTATTGTCGGGGTAGGTCCTAAATTTTCGCTGTCATTCTTAAAATGACCAAGAGCCAATCCAACGGCGATGCCAATTGGTGTTACCATTGAGAATATCGTTAGGTATCCAAGAGTAGTTCTACTTGAGGCACCAGCAACGTAAAGTTCCATACCGACGCAGAATGAAATTACCAACTTATGCGTAGCTATAGCAGCGGCCAGGTATACGACGGACCCAATAGAGGGTTCTAGACCTACTGCTAGACCCTCGAAAATTGCATGAAAAGACAAAGCTAGTACGGTTAGTAATCCTTGTATCGATGTATTTTTTGTCATAACGGAATGGTTATGTTCATGATGTTTCATTCTTGGATAATCTGTATTAGAAGGATATCTCGTGCCATCCTGAGGACTGCGCTGCGTGGAAGATAATCCCGTAGGGGCAGATAGGACAAATATGGCAGGTAACATCTTATCTTGTTTGGCATCGCGAAAATCATCCAAGCCGTGTTGTCTAGATCGTTTGTTTAATTCGTTCTCGCCGTCTTCTAACTCGTCGTTACCATCTTTCCAGGTGGACCTAGCCGTAGTGGAAACCGTGGTGGTGGAACCACTATTCGTAGTTGTTGACGCACCTGTTTGATTGTTGCATCTACGTACGGACACCGTTCTATAGAGTAGCGCCTCCGATGACTCGGGTTTTCCCGTCAGCGCTGCGTGCACCGCCTCTTCAACGAAGTAGACGAGAAAGAATCCGGCGCAGAATAGCAGCTCCGACAGATTTAGCGTGCCTAGAGTAGGCAGTTGACCGTTCCTTTGATGTCTTTCTACGCTCACGCGGACCTCCGGGGCTAGATGCAAGAATGTGGTGAATAGTAGAACGCCCCCGCCAAAGCAAAGCAGCAACGATGTTTGCAGGCCCTGGAGATTACATGTTACGCTCTCTAATTTACCGGTCGTTTCATGTTTTTTAACGACTTTGTTATTCTTTCTTTTTTTAATCATTGAGAAGGCACTTGGTTAATTAGAATTGTCGTTGCTAGGTTCTATACATTGTTCAATATTACTATTAACTTGCGAGGACAAATTTTTTACGAAGTTAGGAATTTTTTCAATCAAATCACTATCGTAACAAATGACTGTTAGATAGGAATTACTTAATCTTCGACTGATAAGGTAATGAGATATGGTAATAGCAAAATAGCTGGAAGCTACGTGTTATGACTTCATAATGTACATTATAATACAATATGAAGAGGATACTGCAAACTATCATAAGTTTATTTACTTTATGCGATATTTAAGGCTCCCAAATATTTCGACAAAATATGAAGACAAAGTATATTAATTTTTAACTACATAGATAATCTTATCAGTTAAGGATCAAATAATATAATATTTTCACAACTTTAATAGATTCGGAACGTACTTGTGAATTCGTTGCAGATGCAGAAATTACACTGGAGGAAGAGGCGTTTGAAATTGATGTGGAGGTACAGGTACTGGAATTACTGAAAATTCTGCGATCTCGTTTTTGACGATGATTCATTCTGTAACGTCCGACAATCAGTGGTAACATTCCCAGAAGTAAAGAGCCAAAGCCAAGACCAATCATTGCTCCTATTTTTGCTATCAGTAAAACGGTAGCCGTTGTTGGTTCCTCCATCTCTATTTCTTTCTATTATTTTATTACAAAAGGTAAGTTTGAATCTAAGTAAGTTTCAATTTGTTTTGTCTTCCAAAGTAAACAGCTGACTTCAACGAACAGCCTTCGGATTTCTTTTTTATATTTTTGTTTTTTAATACTAATTCATCACGTCTTTCTTTCCTACATCATCTTTAATTAACATTTCATTTTTTGTCCTCCTCTTCAAGTTTTATCTACTAAGCGGTTCACACTTCTCTCTTCTTTGTCCAGACAGTCAATCCACCAACGATGCGATCACTTTTTCACTTAACACACGCACGAGCCACTGGTGAACCACGTTTAAATGGCAAGACCATCGAGTTACCTTCACTAAAGTATTAACACAATATGAAAGTTAAAGGGTCTTCCATACCTCACTATACCGTTCTGTCATTTCAGATTCTATATTCCTTAACAAGGACAAACACGAGTTCTTTATCTACAATTCTACCTATCAACCTTTACAACTTTACTATTCACTTATATACTACAATACTATTCCAAAATAATGGTTATTATGATCTACGCTATACTTATATATGATCTATGATCTATAATGAAGCAATTTATATGTTCTTTTACTAAGAGGAACTCTATCTATTCGAGTATTAACTCGATAAAAAAGTTCTGTGGAAAGTAAGATATCCTAAATTCAAACTGCTACCTGAAACTACACTCGTTACTTCGTGTCGCAATACTTTACTTTTCCTTCGGAAAGCGTGAACGAGTCAGCGTCTGGTTGCGAAATGACCATCTAGTTGCCGATACTCCCCCCCCGGATGCATTCTACAGCCGTGCACTCTAGCCGGTAATATCGCGAGGAGATCACTGTTTCTGGGAATCGCGAAGAGGATTCAAGGGAACAGTATAAACGAGCGCCAGAAGGAACGATGCCCGTTCCACGCGGTACGACGGTGAATCGGATACTCCGGGGCTCGTTGGCCACTCGACTCACAATCCCCTCGCGTCTTACGTAGCGCACCGTTTCCTGCTCTCTTCCCCTTCCATTAGACACATCGCTTCCCTACCAGGCTAGTGTTCGTTTCTCTCCTTTCCCTATGTGTACACGGTGCTGTCACCACTCTGGATGGTTGCGTGCCACAGCTAGCATGTATGTAAATGTTCCTCGCAGATGCATGAACCCGACGCGACTGTTTGGTGACCTGATAGCGAGCGCGACTCGTCGGGCAGAATGAATGATTGGCAAGCATCGCGTGCTTGAAGTGCATGTAGGTAGCGGCTGGGCGATTGTTGTTTTCATTGATCGATGGATCGATCGGTTGCGAGGTTGGGTATGCTTAATAATTTTGGTGAGCAGAATGAGTAGTTGGATAAATGTGTTGTTACTTCGAGGATGTTGGAAATTCGTTAATAAGATCTTTTTTATAGTGTAGAAATGTTACTATAAGTGGAATAAGATTTGAGAATTCTGTTGCAATTTTTTTTGTAGAATTTTGCACGAATTTCAAAAGTAGGGAATTGTGTTGTAAATTACAAATTTCTAAGCCTGGAATTCAATAGTTGTGAAGTAAAAGTAATTATTGTACACTCTTCTATTAAATTATTCACCCTGAGATCTTTGAGAGCAGCTTTGTACTACAAACTTAAATCAGTTCTAGTTTGATCAGGTTTACCACATAAACGTCTATGTCGACTACGAATTAAGTATGCTTGTGCGTAAATGGGTGAAGCAGTTTCATGGTGAAAGGCGTTTCCATAATGGCAATACAGAATTAAATCATTGATGCAGAAACAGCTCTTGTTTTGCTACGTGACGTAGATTCAAAACATTATTATCATACGTGTAGGTTGTTTTTCACATAATATTCGTTATATTTTGGTAATGTTTGATGAAATGAAAATTTTATCAAATAAAGTTTAAGTAATCAATCATGCAACGCATTATTTTGTTATATAGTTAATGTTTTTATAATCTCTAAATTAATTAAATAATAATTCGATTAGAAGTAGAAGCTCGATCGTACTTAGCATTGGATTAAGTACGATTTAAACATAAAGCAAAAAATTTGTTCCTATATCGATAATAATAATTGCTATTATAACCAGTTCCATTATTAATTGAATTGATGATTTAAACACAATTTGAAAAGTTAGTCTTTCTTCTCATTTTCTTTCTTTCAATAACATCTCGTACATTGACCTCGACGCGTCAGCTTTTTGCTCTATTAAGATCAAATTGTGTGCTGTAGCAGTCGATAACCGACTACTGACCACACTGGTAATCGATAAGAGTCAAATAAGAGTGTGATAATTTTCACGCATTCGCTTCTGTTATCCTATAATCTATCATGGTCGTCCACGTCTCGTTGTGGTAGAATCGATTAATTTATTTTAATGTATTATAAGTCCATTGTAATCGTAAATTAACGATGTTTACAGAGACGGCTTCGATCGTTGAACGAAGCCGTAATTGAAAGATTAGTCATTTTTAAGTACACTGAACTTATCTGTCATTTAAAGCTTAAACGCTTCTTACTTGTAGTAGATGTTTACGCGACAACTTTAGTAGAAGGACAATTATTTTACTTTATATCTAATCTTCGATTATTTACTTTTATTTACACATAAGGATATGTTTAAGATACTCGCAAGTTTTACTTCAAAATAAATTTTATACTTACTTAATATCTGTAATCCAAACATCACAGCGAACCCAAATAGAATCGATATGTATTGCTGGAGGCCAGTTCTATGCTCCTGGAGTATTTCGAAAAATACTACATACAATAAAGTACCAGACGCCAAACCCTATACGCATTAAACAAACATAATTTTTCAATTACATAATTTTTTATTATAATACGCTATAGAAAACTATAAAACTGTATATCATTTATACCTGGAGTAGGACTGGAAGTATGCCATTGGCAGTTGCACTTTCTTCACCAACTAAAAACATTCCTATAGCAATCCCTAAAGGAGAAACAATCGCGAATGTACAAACATAGATCACCGAAAGGTACTGCCTGGTGTTGGAAGCAATTAACTCCAAACCAATGCAGAATGCTATCACGAATTTGTGAGCCGCCACTCCCGCAAACATATACCTAGAAACGAAATTTACATTTTTAACAATCTTAGCAAATATTAAATATTATTACGTATGAATCGATTTGACGATTATCAGTTGAAAAAAAGCTCGCGATTATTGATCTATTATTAATTTAGGATTTTTTCAAATATTGTTTAAAAATTTTTTTCTGAAATTCCAGATAACATTGGAAATCTTAATATCACGATCTTGTTCCGTTTTGTAGTTAAATTTTGTTTTATCGTTTAATAGAAACCAAACATACCAAACGTAGGAGGCTGAACTTTCTAGACCGATAGCGAGTCCTTCAAATAATTCATGCACGGATAAACCCAGAACTATTAATAATCCTCGTAGTGAACTTATGACGAAGTCGTCTTTTTCATCCATTATGACAGGTAGGTGATGCGAATGACCGTGCCCGTTGCTACAACAACGAATGTATGTATTCATCATCATTCGTTTAATTTACATAAGATTCACGACACCTGATAGATAAACAGTATCTTGCTTACTAGTGTGAGTGCCCACTGACGCAATTTGCCAATGTTTGTCCATTTTCAACCAACTCGTTGGTACTCTTGGTAACATCCTTATTCGAATTTTCTTTTCTATGTGCTTGTTTCTTTCGTAAATGTGTGTGTACTGATTCTTCGACCAAATACATGATGAAAAAGCTACAAAAGTGTATAATATACTATTAAATATTCTTTAAACATTATCCTCTAATTTAAATTTTTACAGGGACATACATTAATCTTATTTTATTTACCCAGTGCAAGTAAGCGTCTCAGCCAAAGAGAAATTGAGTTCCGGAAGTTTTCCGTCTGCTGCAAGATGCTCTAACCCCTCTTTCACTTCCGGCAGCAAGTGAAGAAACGTCGTGCAGAAAAGAACGCCACCGCCGAATCCCAGAAGCAAGCTTACCAATTTCATTGACCTATTACAACATAATCGATTTTTAACACGTCACAAATCTATCGACTCAGTTTCAGAGTTTTACATTCGTATGTGAAATTACGTTATAGAGGTTATTTTTGGTAAGTATTACAACACACAAAACTGTGTATATATATCGTAATCACCATAGTGATAATATAATGTGCAAATCTTGGTATTTAAGATGTTTACTTTTAATGTATACAGCATGATGCACATTTGAGTAAATTATTAGTTTGATCAAGAAGGATTCACATTTTAAAACGAAATAATTGTTTGGTAGTGGGAGGGGGGGGGGCCATACGAGTTAAAGGATATCATTCATTGAGTGAAGTTAACAAATAAAGAATTACGATTATATCATTTATTATTGATTGTATCGATACCTAGGATTTTCAACACCGGAAGTGTTCCATTTCAACCGCCTCGCCACTCGCATTGGTAGAATGCCCATGGCGATGCTTACTGTGCATAATATGACCATCGTGACTCCTTTCGCGACCAATATATTCGACATGTTTTTATCTTCGTGATCATCTTCATTATCTTTGTGAAGCAAATGAACGGTATTCGTTAGCCTTTGTATAAGTGTGTTGTCTTCTAACGGAGACATATTTTGCCTTATTGACAGTCGAGATGTTCTACAAATAAAGAACATGAGTGTAGTTTGCATATTTATATTTGGTTACCTGTAGAGAACTAACACTTTTAATTTTTAGTTACCAATCAACCTAGAAAAATAGTAGCAATACAAATGTAAAAAAGATTGACAAAAATTAAGGAACTTTTTAAACAACAAATATTTTGTTTCTGTAAATCGAATATTTTAAATTTCAATTTTTTAACATCTTTGAAAATAACAAGTATGTACGTAATTGGATTCGTTTCGGTGTTAATGCACACTTCATTTATTTACACATCATTAAAATAACTAAAACTATTATTATAAATACATTTTGCTATGTTTAAAATAGTCTTTTCGTATATATTGCATCTTATATGATACGATCGTTCAAGATCTTGTATTATCGATCGTTATTATAGCATCGACTATATATAAATTGAAAACGGTATAAATTTAATAGAAACTTTGTTTATCGATTATCCTTGAACCTGGAACTCCATAAATATTTTACCTCGAAGGAAATTAATGTCATATTGGTATTATTATGTTCTTTTTACAATTGTAGATAATCCATATCTCATACAATGTGAACTTATATTTTAAAAACGTGAAAACGTGCTATAAAGATTTGTATACAAAGCAACATAAATTTTTATTTCAGTTAAAAAGAAAAAAAAGGCTATTGTTACTGGAATCAAGAAATGGGGGGCTAGATGGCTAAATAAATTATAGCCATAGATATTGAATTTCAAAGATCGGAATCAGGTTATGATTACGTCTCACTTGAAATTGCTGTTAACAATCGATACTGACGTGAATATTTCGTAATTAAGGTAGCCATATCAAGCGTAAAATACTTTAAGTCTACTTCAATTGTAGATAAGGCATTTTATCCAATAATATATAACAGAAAAGCATATTTTAAATATCGACACATTTTTCCAAAATTGAGAAAATGATGGTCGCTTCTCTTTTATAAAGAGATATCTTTTACACGAAAAATATGAACATTTTGTAGTTTTATTTTATCGCGGCTCGTTGTTTTCCGCAACTAGATGTCAGAATAATATACAGTGTATGTAGATGCAATGAAAAACTTGACTCGTACTGACAGTAATTGAATTATCACTGTGATTAACTAAGATCAACAAATCTTTAGTTACACTTCCATGCTAAGATAAAGTATTGTATGTATTTTGCATTGCAATTGTCGTTATCACGAAGTCTTCTTTCATATAAGAGAATTTTGAATCATTATAGAGTACTTAATACTCAGTTTACATTAACGTAATAATAGAATTATGAAAAACAGTTAACGTTATTAACAAATATTTCTGATTTCGTGCTATGGTAGTTTTTTAAAAATCGTTCTTGTCAACTTACCAATTGAAAATTCGCGAATACTTGAACGTGGTGACTTTAATGCGTCGCGACACCTGTTCGCTCAGTTAGCTATTACTCAACTGAAAGCACTTCAGGTGTTTCGTATAGCCGTAGGAGTGGACATACTACTAATTATTTCTTTCAACGGGCCGCATATATGTATAAATAGAATGTAACGTCAATGTCTATCCAGCTTTTTATCTTGATCATTCGAATCGCGAGTAGTCGAGATAAGATGTACGTATAATGGTACTAAGTTTCCTAATCGGAACTGACGATTCCTAATACCTCCTGCCTTCTTGTACGAGAGATTGTATATAGTAGGGGCTTTTTCGCAGAAATAACGATAGCGATCTTTCAAGTAAAAAGTAAAATTCACAAATATCGGTTTTGACGCAAGTTTGAATTAGATGTGTTATACATACGAATATACATGTGTTAGATGTGATATACATACGAATCGATAAAGATTATGTTGTCGCTCGATTTAGGGGATCTGCTCCACATCTTATTCGATATCTCTGATAATATCTCAGATAAAGATTTAACGATTCTTGATTCGGGTGTAAATACGTATATGATTTTCATGGTCTCAGTATCAACGCTTCAGTGACATATTGTTTCCAATTTTGTATATTAACAATAGCTTCCGAAATAATAGATTCTGTTGTATAGATTACAGCAAAATTTGTAAAAATCATCGAAGCAGTATTTGTAATAATTGCTGACGTAAAATTACAAATTATATATAAAAAGGGAAAGTTTACTAATTGTTATATATGTATTAATCACTCTACATCGTTAAATACAATTTTTCATATAGGACAGTGACAACTATTCTTTCTAAAATATTTCGAATCCTTTTAGAACTTTTTATCTGGTTTAAACATATGAAAGTCACATTGGATCTAAATGATTCTGGCGTGTCATTTAATACTCTAAAAAAGGAGTGTGCTATCGCAGAGTTAGCTGGAAACTCATCTGTCTTCAAAAAAGATACATATGTCGTGACAGTAAGTATGAATCATGAGAGGTTCGAATATATGTGTAAATGTGTGAAATCTTTGCTTAGTTTGCAGATGATCGTAAACATTCCATGAACATTTCTTCAGCAATGATATTGAAACACGCTTTGTGGTAGTAATTGTTTTTACGTTTTTTACACAACGTTAGTATCCTGTGAAAGTCACTTGCATTTATATGAGACCGTTTACCTTCGAAATTGAAATTTTTCAGGATCCCTTCGACTAGAAGCAATCGATTTGAATGGTCGTTAAATGTGGGAGCGGAGGAAACGAGTGCCGGGTACAGATGGTACTACTTAGTACCGCGAGTACAGTGAAAGTAAGTACACTCGCTATGCTCCTTTGGCAAAACAAAGAGGGAAGAAATGACTTTTGCGTTTATCCAAGGTAAACTACACAACCTCTGAAATCATTGTGAACGATAGATTGCAACCTTTTTTCCTCTCGCGATTCCAGCAATCCTTATTGAAGTTTCACGTTCACTACTTTATTTCTCTGGGATAATAAAATTGCGCCCAGCGGCGTTTTAATGTTATCTCTACCTTATTATCAACTCAGTAAAACCTTTCTTACAAATTTTATGTTGCGTAGAAATTGCCATAATTTCAGAAGCTTATATAAATCTTTTTAAGAACTTATTGTACAACGAACCTTTCTTCGGTTATTTCCTTTACCTTCTATATCTTTTATGACTGCTTAAATGTAACTAGTAGATATGAAAAACAGGAAATTTGATAATATTATATTTATCAAGATAGCAGATCGATTGATTAAAAGAATTTAAAAACAAGGAATTGGAAATTTGTGGATGTTTCCCATAGATAAATTGGTACTTATACGTTGTCGATATTTGCACACTTCAGTAGATGACATATTTTTTCCTCGACGTTTACTTTATCTGTGCACGTGTGTTTTTCAGTTGTTAATTTCTACTATTTATAGATCTTGGTTCAAGATGTAATTATCATAATCAAACACTTATTGTAGTAATTAAAGTTTTTGTTATTGTATTTATGGAACCAACTAATTTACGCATTCAATTATTATTAATCTAACAACAATTTAGCTTCTTTCAAAACTAATTTACATTCGTTTGCAGGTAAAATTAAGGAGAGAAGAACGAAACTACTCTCGATTAACTCTCGATCTGATTTTTTCGGACTATCTGATCGATAAACAGAAGCCATTCGCTAAAAAATATTGCGATTGCGTCAACATCTAAATGATATATATACATGAGTTTTCCATTAAAATTTTAAATCGGTATAAAAAGTAGCTTTTTAGCTCTATCATATAGTATACGGCAAGACACAGTATACGGCAAGTATAAAATTAATTATATTTACAGATCTTTGAGACAATACGTTTCGATTATTGAAGGACACTAGGGTAGTCGACTGACTAGTCAGTCAATGTCCACCAGCTGTACGCGTATCAGCGAAACCAGTTTTGGCTGGCATAATGGTCCAAAAACAGGAACGGTAACGAGTTCCAACGTTTTTCCCCATAGTTTGTACATACATATAGCGATCCCTTTCCGTAGCTGTAGCGCATCGTCGTTTCGAGGTTGTTCCATTTGGAACGCTTTGCTGACTGTTTAAAAATGTTTTTCGAACGACATTTTTCGTCTTGAGTCGTTCATTACTTTTCATGAGTCATTTTAATTAAATTGTAGTGTTCAATGAATTCATGTTTTTGTGTTATCATCATTATTTGAATAATCTAATAATTTACTTGAATGTGAATAGCCTACTAATCATTCACGTATAAATGTGAGGAGCGATAGGTGATAGGTATCTGTAATTATGCTAATTACAAAGGAGGATAAACAAGGATAAATATAGCACTTATCTCATTATAAATGATATAGGTATCGGAATCCTCACTTCGCTTATTTCGCTGCACAATTGCCTTTTTGTAAAAGCGGCAGAATTTTTTTAATTTATCGAATAATTAGATTCTATCTAATGAGTATATATATAACTATACTCATAATATGTACTGTGTATATTTTATGATTAATTTATACAATTTATCATCATGTAGTATAATTAATTTATACTGTCTATAAAAGTACTTAATGCGTGAATGTAGTAATAATACGATCAGATTTGAGTAACTTAAAAAATTAATAATTTTAAACAATTATTTTGAATTACCTATACGTGTATTATGAAGTGGAAGTATTGCTTGCTGACCTTGGTCAATTAATCGAGCCAAAATAGATTACAGCCTTAAATGAAAATTGTCATAAAGGAATGCAAATACGATCTTTTTGTGCAATTTAACGATATTGAACATAATTGAACACGTTTCTATTTGAACTATTCAAGGTTTGTCACACTTCTACCATCCGTTTCAATGAAAATCGTACTGGCCTGTTATTGAGCTTTGTTGAACTGTTTCATCAGCGGGGCAGCTATTACAAGATGCTTCGCGGTACGTAATTAAGATAACCGATCAGACAGACAATTTTCAGTAACTATAAATGATCGAATGATGATCAATGATGTGCTTTCTCGCACTTGCTACATTGTTAAACTGGACTGCCTGGAGATTATTGAAATGTTGACATCAAGAATAAAGGCGTGATAATAAAACATACTTTGTTACTTGAATGGAAAAGGAACAATGTTGCTTTTTAACAAGGTTTTGAAATTCTATACACTAGATCCTGACAGATCCTAAAGATAAAGTTGAAATATGATGCTATAATCTCAACGACAGGTAGTAATGTAGCGAATTCTCTAAGGCGAAATTAGGCAGCGAATATTAGTTAACTTGGTCATGAAAAATATTTCTGACAGCGAGCAGCCACTGTTTCACCATAACCATTTTACGATAATTTTTTCTAATACGTAATGTAGCACTAATTACATTAAACTTCAATCTTTGTTTATCATTTTTTCATCGAACACTGAATTAATAATTGAACGTACTCGTGCTATACAGTAAAATTTTGTTATCTCTGTCACAAAAAGACATTCAATGAAAACATTACCATATGGATAAACATGAGAAGACAACAAACGTTGGAATACAAACTACACTGTCAAAAATCAATTCTAAATGAAACTCATACGCAAAGCTTTTAAACAAAACGATCGATAAAAAATGATCATGAATAAGAAATCATAGAACATCTTTAAACTTTATCAAAAAACAACAAACTATTTTATAGAACAAAGTCCATCTGAATCCATTCATGATGGAAGGAACCACAGAATGAACCTCATGGAGTGAACACATTGATCAAAAGGATAAATGGATCATCTACATAGTATATTATTGTAAATAATCAATTGTAATATAGACTTACTAATGTTTATTATACATATGTATAATATCCTGGATAATTAGTAAACAGTTTTCACAGGTGAACAGACTACCAAACTTCAAACACTACGGAGGACGACGTAAATGGCACTTGTAAGAGTTGCGGCGAATCGCAACGCACTGAGTCGGACGAGTGAATGAAGAACAGTAAGTATTGCACGGGAGAGAGTAAGCAGAGGCGGCGGAGGAAACTTTCATACCTGTCTATCGGGATTCCCTGGTGTGTGCGTACGCGTCCCACCTTTATCCGGGGATTCCTGGCTACGGGTTAAGTCGTCGATTCACCCCGGGTCACGTGTGTTGCATTCATAAATAGCCTGTTGCCAGTATCTAGTTAATGACCATGCCAAGATCAAAGGGAGAAAATGTTGATAGGTCAGGATAAAAACCACCCTGAATCAGTAGTGTTCCACCTGACTCTTTATACTGAGTCACTCGTGGCATAAATTATCTAATGCAAAATGCAAGTTATTATGTACTATTCTTCTTACGATAAGAATATTTTTTCAAGTTTGACAGTCATACATATATACGCATAAAAGAGTAATATAAGATAAACCAAATGCTGCTGACGATCTGATATGACGAGAAGCTGAAGGAATAACGAAAAGTACCCTTTCCAGTTTTTATTTTTCTTTTAGGAAAATGAAAGAATATCCTGTTCTCGACAGATTGGGGTTAGGTTGGGGTTAGGTTGGGGGTTAGGTTTCTGTTCAGATTTGTTCAGAAGTTCAGATTTGAATTTATTGAATAATTTAATGGACACAATATGTGAACTGCTGTCTAAAAAGGTAATGATTATAATATCTTGATAAAATAACAATCTCGCTAGTAGAAAAACAAAAATAGTCCTATTGAAGTTGTTTTTCTTCTTTATCGATTATAACGTAATCTTCGATCCAAACTCCTAAATGTTGAACTCTATTCAAGTAGTCTATAAATATGATAAGGTCCGTTTTTGCTATGAGCTCTTTGATTTAGACGCTGTGAAAATTTTGAAATCTTCAAGAATAAAGACTCCCTTAATAATAGAAATAAAAGTTCCATCGAAAGAGACGAAATATTTTAACTGCATTTTAATGTGGGAAAATACCGCAATCTAGTTATCTTATTTCGCTGTATCAACTTACAGTTGTGAAATCAGTGATTGATTGTATCGCCGCTCATGTTGTAAAATTTATTCTAATTGCTTAGAAACAAATCGATGCAATAATCATACAAAAATGTCAACAATTTCTCATAACTCATCCAACTTGCGTTCGCTTACAATTAGTTAGAAAATTCTTTTATCTATTAAATATTCTAGGAAGTACTAAACTTTGAATATTTCATATATATTTGCAAATTGTTTATAGTTTGCGAATATTTACATCTTCAATTATTCTATAAATGTATAAACGTTCGCAGTCTCATCATTATCTATGTAATACCATTAAAAGCTACAGCTGTGCCAATGAATTGCTTATGTGGGACCAAATTTGTTTTCATGCCATCCGTTCTCTGTTTCCTTTCTATTGCGTATCTTCTTTTATGCTGTTAATTATATAATCTTCCAAGGTGAATACCAATCAGCTGCTATAGCTTGGTTCTTACCGATTCGTCCTTCCTCTTCTCGATAAATCTTACATCACACTTATTTGCGAAAAAATACTATTTGATAAGAGTGTACGTGCGGTCGAAGTAGTCGATTCGTTTCGTGTTTTTATATTTACGGATTGAATTATAAATATATTGAAAAGAAAACTTTACAATACAGGTAAAAGATAAGGATTTGTACTGAACATTAAATGGTCAAGTATTTGTGTAATTTTTTAAAAGTAACATTGTTGGGACCCGAATTGGCTAACGTAGTATAAGCCATATGTTAACCAAAAAGGGGTGAGTGAACTAGGGGAGAAAGCATGATTTCCGAATGTGAGAACAGCGTGCAACAAAGAACGTATAGATAACTTGGCTCGTGTACAATTATTATTTCAATATACTAAATACATTTATACTTTTTCTTTTACAATTTTACGCTTGATTGATTAATCTCATCAGGTTATGAGCCCAGAGTAGGTGTAAAAGAAGTAGAAATAAAAGAGAAAACGAAAGAAATGCCTTAACGGACAATCGGGAGGGTAATCACGTATAACAAAAAGATAAAAGATCAGAGTTTCAAAAAGAGTATTTCAAAAGAGAACATGGATTCAGCACAATATTTTTCCCAGTTATACGCAGAGAATTTCAATAACTGGAAATTTCGAGTTAAATGCGTGTTGACTGAAAGACAGAGAGATGATATGTTATGCGTCGAAATCCCGTCATTCGCGCGGGATAAATATAGAAGGAGTTTTATATTAAAAGACGCAAAAGCCAAGTCAATAGTGGTGCAGTGTATTATGGACAAGCATCTATATCTAATGAAAGGTGCATTCACTGCAAAAGAAAAGATTTTGCAAAATATGTTTGAGAGGAAAAGCACGTTTTCAAAGTTGCATTTAAGGAGGAAGCTATTTTCATTGAAGTATGGACAAAATGAAAAATTTTTTCTTAAAATTTGACACCATCATAAAGGAGATGGAAAATGTGGAATCCAAAATAGATGAATCTGATAAAGTTTGTCATCTACTGTAGACAATGCCTGAAGACTATAACACTATGATAACTGCTATCGAGACAATGAATAATAAAGAAGTCACTTTAAACTTTGTCAAAACTAGGCTGCTTAATGAGGAGTGAAAAATGATGAGCAAGATGTTGAATAAGAAAAGCAATAATGGCCAGGTAATATTCAAAGTCTTCCTATTTGCTTGCTTTAAATGTGGTAGAATAGGTCACAAAATAAGTGAATGTAGAGCAAAAGAGAGACCAAATACCAGCAGAAACTTGTATAGAGATTGAGGCTCCTTCAGAGATAGGGGTTATTGACCAAGGAGATTAGAGACAGCTAATCAATCTATTAAGGACAAAATCTCATTTGTGATCTTAAGCAGCATAGTTAGTTGCAATAAGAGTAAATTTACAGAGTTTATACTGGATTCAAGTGTAACTGCATATTTAACGAAGGCAAATATGGAAAAATATATAAGTAATATAGAAATGTTACAGGAACAGGTAAAAATCCATATAACTAGTGAAGATAAAGGCTACAAAGAAAGGTGACTGTTGCAATGTACAAAGAGTAAAAGGTAAGAATAAATGGTCTAATAGTAAAAGGACTAGAATATAACCTTTTGTCAGTAAGGGAACTAATTCAAATAACTATAAGGTGATATTCGGCATGGAAGACATAGAAATTGTGGGAAAAAACCATGTTATTTTGCAAAAAGGGGAATAACCTACATATCTTGAAATTAAAGCCTATAAAAGATGAGGTTTGTATAAGTTTGGAAGCAAGTCAGATCTAAAAGGCTGAACTGTGACGCAGAGAGTTGACCATTTGGATAAAAAAGGTATGAGAATTCTAGGACTACCAATAAACAGTGACAATTGCTCCATGTGTGTGGAAGGCAAAGCTGCAAGACCCATTTTTTTATGAAAGAAAGAAACAATCTCAAAAAATAGGAGATTTGATACACTTCAATACATCAGGATCAGTAACTCCATGTACTCTAGATAGACATAGGTATTTTCAAGTGGTGACAGATGACTACACCTACTTACAGTAATGTATCTATTAAAACAAAAGAACGAAGCTGAAGAAAATTTTAAAAATTAGCAGAAATTAAAACCCAATGAGGAATAGTAGTAAAAAATGTAAGACTAGATAATGGTAAAGAATTCACATCAAGTTCATTCAAAAACTACTGCAAATCACGAGTAATAAGAATTTAGTATATGTGCCCATACACACCCCAGCAAAATGGCAAGTCTATAATAGAACTAGGATCAAGTTCATCAAGAGGAAGTTACCAAAGACCCTATGGTGAGAAGCAATTAGATGTTCAGCTTACAAACTAAATAGAAGCCTAACAAATGCCAATGAGAATTTGATATGTAATCGTATATATAATATATGAGATATTAAAAGAATAATTAAGACTTCTTGTATCTAATTATGATTTTTCGAGGTACGTAATGTCACGATTAATCGGCGAAACAATCGGAAAATACTGCGTAATAAAAGAGAACATGTCCATTATTATTATTTACAAAAAACAATTTACATTACTACTTAAATCAAACCTTATCTAACTCTGATTTAGTTGTATATTATTACGAATGAAAAAGTATATGACGTATAAAATCGTAGAGATGCGAAAACTCCAAAAATCATCTAGAATATTTAAATAATTGTACTCATTTAACAAGAAAAACCAATTTCCTATAATAACTGATCTAGCAAAGCTTTTAAAAGAATATTGCGCATACGAGAGAATGAAACAGTCCGTTTGGAATCGTAGAACATCATTGCGTGTTTATAAAGACGTCTACAAGAGGAATTTCCTTAGCGATTCAGATCCAGAGATTCGTCGCGCCGCTGCTCTTTGCAGTTAACTCCGATTATCTTTTTCGCACGCATAGCTACGCGTGACCTGCAATTTTGCTAGTTGGGACAAGCATGGATCGCTGACACGCAGGAAACGCGATATTACTCCGTATAAAAAAGAAGAGAATAAGTAAAGGAAAATGTATGTGTAGCGTTTCATCGTAACCAATTATCAGACACGGTCTTCTCTAATCTCCATTTTTATCTCACAACTTGCAGTTGTTTGTATGTTGAATCATGTTTCACAAAATAATGCCATTATTTATGAACTTTATTCTTTAACGTTTCCTTGAGAATATTATCGAATACGAGGAAACAAAGGAGGAAACAGGAAAATGGAGGAAAACAATAATTCTAAGAAAATGTTATCGTTTATTATAATTATGGAGAATAATCGAATAATATTAATGTATGGTCGAATAGAAGGAAACAAAAATAAATAAAGAAGAGATAAGATAATATATGTACAAATAATAACTATAAGAGAATGTTCATTGGAGAATGATTTAATACGTTTGGTACCATTCCTATGGTAATTTTTCTTTTATATCTTTTATACTTTTTTGTGAAGCAGTATTATAATCGGAAATATAAAGGAACACATTAGACGGCTATTGTAAAAAAAATTTTCATTTTAAATCTGACTGATCGCGTAATAAGGGAATTACCAATGTATTATCCGCAATTAGAAGATTCTTTGGAGATTATTGGTAATAGGAGGAATCCGTCTATTTCAATTGTTCTTTGCCCACGCGACAGGTCGTTGTTTCACGCGATATATGAGCCATTCAGAAGTCACGCTGATCAACTCTATAAACTCAAAAATACAGAAAAGCGACTATACAAGATATGCTACGCTACATTATAAAAATCTAGAATTTTCCGATCAGTAAACCGTAGATTTTTATGCATTTATGCAAAAATGCACGGAATATACGTAATATGCAAAGATATATATACGGGAATATTAAAAATATTTCTTGTAATGTTTTGGTAGGTAAAGCAAATTTCTGTCTATCTTTTTTTCCTCAAATTATGTTCAGAAAAATATGCCTAGATATTACAAACACTGGTTTCTAAATTTACTTTAGAATGAACTTGTGGAAGTTAATCATTTGTTTCTTAAGAATTGAACACTAATTGTGTACTTACTTAATGAAGTTAAGCAATTGTTGAAAACTCGAGTTGATCGGTTTATCCTCTGAGAGGTTCATGTATGTACATAACTGGTGGTAATAAATGTTTGACGTGGTTGATGCATCTTGCAGCAAATGGTCAGCAATTTTCTTCCTAGAGGTCATCGCACAAGGAAGTGAACGGAAACTCGGTCCTCCAGTGGAACTTGATAGAAATTGCGTTTAAAAAGGGGACAGAGAAAGCGGAAGACAGAATTATTGCGTGATCTTACCGCATATTCTATCAATTTAAGTAAAATGTAATTCTATTACTATTTTGGTCGATATGCATATAAGTAACAGGCTTGAAATAATTAAATTGTAATACACGTAATTGTAAACACTTTTAATGTTTTTTAACTAAATTGTAATGCGAATGTAATTATTATTAGAGTGCGGATATTCGTGGAAAATCATACTTTTATATATATAATAAGAAATGGGATCTATTATAACCGAAGAATAATAATAAGAAGAATAATAAGAAGTATAAGAATGAAGGAAGACAGAATTTAAGGTAAAACTACATATCAAGTGTATAAAATATTTAATACAATATTGTATTCAAGTCCAATGTTTAATAAAGAACTATCATTGGAAATAAAGACAAGAGGGACTGAAAGAAAAATAAGATACGTGAGAATATGTTCTACGTGAGTAAGAATATTGGTACTGTTAAAAACAACAGCGATTGGCAAATCGCTAAATGTCAAGGATAAAAGCAATTCCACGATCTTTTTTCTATTTCAGAAATCTTGTAATGAGAAATAGACATTAACTAGACCGTTCTTCAACCGGAAGCAAATTTCTTAAGCTTTATAATCTTATAAAATTAATTTTTGTTAAATTAAGATAAATGAAAACTTATTTCGCCTTTATTCCATTGTATTAAACGAATGAATTTTTCTTTTTAATTTAATGTTGCAATTATACATTCTTGCGAAATCTATCAGCAATTTCATTGAATGAATAAACGACGAGAAATATTTTTCCGTAGAATTTGGAGGCGGAAGAAATACTGCTGTTACGAACGAAAAGGGAACCGTGGAATATGCAATGACTTCTGTAGAATGTTTTAGTGCAAGATATGGCAGTCAAACTTTTACGTCGCATAAATTGAGGAATTAGCTTTTTATAGCTTTAAAGGTATGTGCATTATGTTCTTAGTATCTGTAACCTGTTGAGGTCAATGACTTTTATACGGCTTTATAATTTATCACAGACTTATTTATAGATATTGCTTTTGCATTTTATAAAGTGTTATTAACACTGTTGAGGTTGCAATATTAAAACTAAAGGAAATTTTTTACACTGAATAAAGTAATTCAAAACGCTGATTTTAAAAAATCATTATTTAATATTTATTGAATATTTATTGAAAACTCTATAGAATCATGAGTAGTTCTATCAGTAGTTCTATCAGTAATTTTTAGAAATGATGATAATTTGCAACTCTAATTTTGGGAAAATAGAGGCCAATCATTACAAACGTTGCGCAATTTCACGGTTTTATAAAAAAGAAGTTAGTCAGCGTATTTAATCGGGGCAAATTCGCCAACAATGAATTAGAATACGAATTAATTACAACTAATTAACTTTTACACGATTAAAGCGTTCGTGAATCGAAGTTATATTGTAATTTGAAATTCGTATAAAGAGGTGTTGATCGTATCCACGGTTAAAACACAGACTAAATACACATCGTCGGTGATTAAAGTTGAACTACGATAATAATGACGATCGGTATAGCAGGAAAGCCCTCCAGCTCAAGTATATATGTATGTACATACATACTTGATGTTTTGTTTTACCGACAGTAACACAGTCTATGTTAAGATAGGTGTCACTACGTTAGTATTGTTATAGAGAATTTGTAGATATGTACAATATATATTACATTCTCTAATATTTCAATAATTACTATTCGCGCAAGTCACGTGAACAATTTTACTCTAAGTTATATCAATACTGTTGTCTATGTCTCCTTCTATCTACAAATTTCCAGCTAAATAATATATCTAAAAATTTCAAAATAAGAGGAATGTATATATCTACTTCTGCATATGTTGCAACAATATTTAGAGATAACAATTTAGAATACAAGGAAAGAACTTACAATTTTTTAAGTGGATTGAAATATCTTCTATGTTTAAAATTCAAATGTTTCATTTGATAATCATAAATGTTTGCTCAGATTTTTGCAATTATAACAATTTTTATCGGAAAGTACACAAAATCTATGGAGGAATGTTCATGGTGTTTTATTTTTAAATTCATTACCACCTGTTGTTACGATAATAATCTCGGTTAAATTCCCGTGGCGCGATTCGCCAGGTGATTGCTATTTGCCGCGTGGCATGTCCGAAAACGCACGAAAATTCCCGACTCTATAGAACTGACGCATCAAAGCGCCAGTTGCAAGACGGACATCGTTCCGTTCGTGTCGTGGGTATTGTTCTTTTCTTTGGTGAGTAACTTCGTTTTAACATGCATTCTTTTCTGTTCGACATCTGTGAATACTTGTCAATTTCTTAACATAACAAACTTTTCTTCAAGTTAACACCAAGTTAACATAGTTTTCATGTTGCCATTTTTTTATAACTTTTAAATACGTATCAGTTTGTTAAATATACGCTTGTACGAAATACATATAATAAAGATAGGGATATATGAATTAGTATTTAAAAATATTCATATATATGTACATACTTTTTCATTTACATGTGTTTCATGGCTAACGCATTCACTGTTGACATTTTCCATTTTACACGTATATTTTTTTTTAATTTTAGTTTTTGAATCGCTTTTTGGTGTGTAACATATTACAATACTCTCTTGCTAATTGGTTAGAATTCTGCTTTTCTAACTGGCCATCGTTATCCCCATTATTTTTTAGAAGTGTCTGCGTGGAACTAAAGCTCCAGTGTTATATGTATTTCTTCCATTTTATCTGTTGTGATTTTGTATATTTGACTGTTTTTATGTAAAGTGCCGATTTTTAAATTTCAATATTTAAAATTGGATGTCGAGTATCACTGTTTCACTCTATCGACATACGTATCTGTTAACTCGTCGAGTCAGGATTCCTGGACTGTTTTGCACTATTGAACTATTATCATTAGCGATCTTTTATATGTCGTAAGTTTCCTAATTAACAAGTTTGATGATGAAACAAATGAAATTTCATAAGTAAATTTTGTAAATTATAAATTATCTGATTTATCCTATTTGACAAAAAGTTATAAAATTATGAAAAAGAAATCTATAGCCCACAAATTCTATTTAACTTATTAATATTGTTAGTTGGTATTTTCGTGCAAGAGCAACCTGACATAAATATAAAAATCCTTCCTTGTTAACCGACCACATTCAGTCCCGATCCGCTGTCAGTTAGCAAGGCCTTACTGTACTTCAATGCAGACCGGTGATTGTATCAAACTACTATGCAATTCGAGAAGGTTATACGAGGTTTTACTAGCGTTCAAAAAACTAGATGGGAGACTAATTCGTCTCGATATAATTTTTATTGTTAAATAACTCGCGTCGGTTTATAGTCATTCGATGTATTATATTGATTCTGAAATTGTCGATCGAGCATCGGTGTCGTTTATCCTTCTTGGTACGTTTACGTGTGTGTTTATATTTACATGTAAATGATGTGTAAAACGTGAAACAGGAAGTTAACTAGAAATTGAAATCCAGCGCAACATATGTTCCATAATATAATAACTTACTATTCGTGTTTTCGTTAATATCATCATTTATTATTTTTTAGAAATTAACTTACGTGTATATTTATTAAAGACAAATGTATTTATTATTAGTACTTATTATGTTTTTCAATGCGCGAAAAAAATCTTGGGCTATTAAAATTTTTTTTGTCGATTATTCTGTGAAAAATAATTAATGATAGGTAACGGTGGTTTCAAGCATAAGTTGCTGACACAAGTATGATGCATTAAAGCCTGCTCAAACATATGCGCGTGTTTTTTGAACAGTGATAAATTTCCTACTGCAGTACTGTTGTTTTTTGAACGATTTATCGGATAGTTCCGCTATTATACACGAAGAATCTTCAGGAAACACTATAACTGCTTTTTACAATCGAATCGTGAATTTATGTCAAATTAATTAAACCAAGAAATATTTTATTCTATTGGTCTCTATTAGAATATTCTGGAAAAATATTCCATTGAAGTTATTTCTATTGAATCACTTCGAAAACATATTCTGTCGAAGTTACTTAAGAATTTATTTATCATTTATTAACACGTCATTTAAACAGCTTTTTTAATGTTTCTTTATATAGTAATTTATACCAACTATTGCTCATGACAGCTAGGTTAAGCAACCATATATTGTAGAATTATATTTCTTTTATTTAAATTAGGTTAGGGGAGCATGCTATATAGATCCTATACATCGTCCGTGAAAATTTCATATGAAACAAGAGTGTCTTCAATGCTTCATTTCTCCTTGATGAGAACTAATTAAACTCACAATCGTTGTCATCAAAACGATCTCGCTTGTTTATTATTTCTCTAATGGGGAAGAATTTTCTTAATTAAGTCGTACTTCTAACTACGATAGCAAGTATAGCAAGTTCGGTTAGCTATATATACATCTAGTATGTTTCGTTTATCAATTACATAAATAGGAATCGTAATTCATTGATCAAGATATCGTGTCGATACTATTAATACTTCACACTGACACACATCAGAAATTGTAACATAATAATAGACCAAATATAGGGTATTTTATTTTCTAACATAGTTTAGATTAGGTTAATTAGGCTCGACTTGAATTTCTCCATTAAAAAATATAACACAAAATTTTGAGTGTCAGTATCGAATTGAAACATGTAAAATGAATAGTTATCCTGTTTTTCTATAATAATTTGTAAGCTATTTTAAACGAGACAATCTACATATACGATATGAAGGTGTTAGTCAATGTGGCAGATGTTTATGTAAGTTTGTGTTATTATGACGACATTGTGCGACGTAAAATGTGCGATATTTCTCATTTGCGAGTTGCAAGAGGATTAGGAGAGTGGAACGAAAGTGCACAGGTGCGCGAAAGAAAACAGACGATTCAGTGTAGGTGAATTAGCATGTGAATTGTGCGCAGCTTCGTTCTTCATAAGTGTATCAGGTAGTCACGGAAAAAAAGAAGGAAATAAATCTGCCGTCTCCTAGTGCGTGATGAAAGCTCGTTTGAGTTCGTCTACCGTGTGAGGATGTGTGATATGTAACAAAGCATTTATTTAGAAACAATGTGTCTTTTACAGCTGCATCTGCTTCCCCTATTGCACTACAAAATTCTGCTTTGTTTGGTCACGCGTCTTTGACCATTGACAATTGGTTTGAATTATAAGAGCGTACATCTTTCAACCATGATTCCTTTCACCACTTAAATTTCGTTCATTGAATCATTGTTCACACAAGAGTTCCTCTATGCATCATTTATTAATAATATGGAAGAAGAAAAGTTGCTTCAAGAATAGTTTCTTCTCTTGATGATCAGAACTATAGGCCTGTGTATCACTATACATTCAGTCATCGGAATAAAGTACAAAATTACAAAGATGTTATTCGTATTAAACTATGACATAAACATTATCGCGAA